GGGGGGGGTGTGAAAAATACTTGGGAGAGCCAACAGTAGAGCTGTGTGCAATCGTTCTGAGGGTGAAATGGGACTTGCTGTCAGCAATGTTGTGATGTAAACCTTTCACCGGTAACATTCATTTAAGTGTACTGTCTATTTCTTTTTCTTCGATAGAAAATATTTTACATCTCCGTCGACGAACAAAGCAAACAAACCCAGGCTGAGTGGGACAGTGCTTTGCAGTAGATAGACGATGATGTGTCACGATGCGTTGGAATCAGGACTTCATCATTTTGGGGGCATGTGGGGGTTATAAGTACCATCTTCATTCATTCAGGACGCGAATTCTTATCATTCGACAACGCTTGGGGCACTTTAAAAAGAAGCTTAACCTCGGAATTCATACAGATTTTTATGTTCTGTTTTCTTTATCTGAAACTTCAAAAGGCAGGCAACAACATACATATTATTATCATGGAATATGCGAGTTCGTCTTTCTGGCTTGTGTTTGACTGCGTGAAATGTGCCTCAACTTTGTCTTTGGTCTGCTGATGATCGGACATGTGCGTCCTGCACGTCCTTCAAGAGTTAAGGCTTGTTCATTTGGCGAAAAAATAACTATCTATCTTTAATAGAAGTGAAGATATTTGAGATTGAAAGTGGTGTAGGTCGCCTGGTGTCACAGGTAAAATTAGCGGAAAAATAGCCGCCAAAGTTTGGTGACTTCCAAAACTTGAGTGTCCTTGGAAATTGCAAATTTACATTTTTCGTGTGTGCCTTTGCTAAACGTTTTTCAACAAAAATTCCCACAGGAACGTGTTCTGAAATGGACATAGAAGGTAATACCCCGCCCCCTCCTAAAAAAAAGAATATTCGCAAAAAAAAAGTTGGCCAGCAGCCAGAAAAATGCTGATTTCCTTGACGACATTATTTTGACGAGCACCTGATTTTACCACATTGCCTCACAAGTAAACGTCCTCATGTGAGAATCAAACTCTCACCTTCAGGGTACAAGGTGATGAATTTTCCTATCATATCATCCGCACCGGTAGCACAGCTTGGAAGGCACGGTTACAAACTGAAGCACATGCATTAACCCCTTATGAACTTCTGAGCTTTTCGTTAAAAATTGCGAATCCAACTCCTGCATTATCTCAAACCCCTTCTTGAAAGAAGAGAAAGCTAAAAAACAGAAGCCGGCAAGCCGACGCTTTATGCTTCTAAATACAAGCCAGCAAAGAAATAAGGGGAAAACATTGAAGGCGGGCAGAACAGATTACTGAAGAATCGGCAGTCAGGGAAAATATAACAACATCCGATAAAACGCAAAAGTATGTTCTTGACACGAGCTACGTCGTTGAAAACACACACTAAAACCACGCGTTCTTATTCGCTGTATGTTTGTACTCAGAGCATCGATGACATTTTAATTGTAATGATATATCGAAAACAGCATAAATATCCGCGCTACCTTTTTCCCTCAGGTAGACAAGTAAAACATATCAATATATAGGAGAGGCCAGTGGGTACGTTACGTAATTATACGTATTCAACTTCACATAAAAATACTAAATCGTAGAAAATTTTGAATAGAACAGAAAAGAACAAGAACCGAAATCAGGAAATAGCCATTTCCGTTTTAAAACTGGTAAGTAGGAAATATCATAGACGCTAGTGTTGCCGCACTGGGAAAAAAATAACAATTATGTTGTCAAATGGTCTAGTTAAGTTAGTTTGAGGCTTTTGGAAACGTACCAACCCGATAAAACGGTCTTTAGGGTTAGGTAAGAACAGGAATAGTCTGATGGAGACGGAAAAAGTTGGGCCCACCAGTGACATCGTAATATCGCCAACTTTATTACTGAGTGACTTTACTGAAATTACTATAATAATAATAATTATTGCTTACACTTACAGCAAAACCTCTTTTACAATAGTACATTGTTTCCTGATTTTTCAAGTCCTGTGTCGAATCATTTATTGTGGTACAGACAACCTAAATTAGCCAACTTTTTAAAAACAGAAGTTGTGTATGGAGCTTTTAAGATTGTGAATCCAGTGCTTGTCTAAATGTTGGTCTGTTAATAGTTTTGTCTTTGAGTCCAGAAAGTAACTCACGTTTTTCATAGGTTTTCAATAGGGCACAACCAACAGATGGCTGTGCCTAATAAGTCTAACAATTCGTTATCCTAGAATTGCAGAGTTCTATCTGCTCAGTACCTAATTTTGAGAAAATTGATGGAAAATTGTTTTGAGTTTCACAATTAAACAAGCTTTTTCGAATGCAGTTCTTTGAATATCTCGATAACGACTCTGAATGATCTTGTGATTTTGATAGAACAGGTAGAACATTAAAATTTAGTTTCTGAACTCACTGTCTTAGTAACTCAAAGCGGTTAAAAACGTTAGACTGAACTTTGTCATTCTAAAGTAGCGAATTAAGAGAAGGCTGCTTAAGGTAGCACCAGTAATTACTTACGTGGTCTAGAAAGGTACCCAAACACAGACCTCATCCCTCATATTTGATCAAAACACATTGTTGCTTAGAGCATATTTTTGCCGCTTTCCTCGCAACAAACACCGAGAAGAGCTGTCATGTTAATGTAAAACTAATTGTAAGAAATAATAATTATACCTCTGCAATAATAACACACAAAAAATACCCCCTCCCCCCCCCCGCAAAAATAAAACAAAATAAAATAAAAATTAATCATAATATTAATTAAAATGGAATCTTAGTTCACCCACCCATCCTACAAAAGCCTTAAATACAATCCTATTCAGGTTTCAAAACACGTTTTTCAAACAACTTGCAGCGTAACCCTACGCCAGGTGAGTAATAGCTGAACTTTGGAATGAAAACCTGTTTCTGCGATCTCACTACCTTAAAGTTATGCAGTCGATCCACCGTATCCGTAATGGAAATAGGTTCCACGACTTGAAACTGTAGCAAAAACCAGAAAATACCTAAATCCTATAGTACAGAAAAGTTAGAAAGCAAGAAATGTCAATCGAGACAATGCTGGCAAAGCGAGAACATTTGTCGTATTTCAATCCACGGTTGGTTGAATCCTCCAAAATAGAACCTGCGGATAGAGTGAACTCACTAGCTCACAATTATGTGTTGTTTCGCTTTCTACTAGATCTAGGTAGGGATGGCAGAGGAAAGAAAAGAGAGCACCGTCGTCAAGGTAGAGAAGATGCGTGCGTGCTCATTGTTTGTTTGTTACCGAGGCTGTGAGTCTTGCCCCTGATCGCTTTACCTGGCCTGACTTCTCAGTGGGGGCCCGCACCAGCCAGCAGCAGTGTCGGTCTGGTCGGTGTGTGTCTCAGCCCAGTCGGAGCAGTCAAAAAATGTCTTCATCTCCGCAACGAAACCACGAGAGAAAGGGAGAGAGAGGGAGAGAGTTGGAGAGTTAAGAGTGAGGGGGGCGGGGGCGTCGGTGTGCCGGCGGGGTGCTGCTATCAGTCACCGAGAGCTCAATAGAGAGAGACTAGGAGTCAATCCGATAGATGGGCCTTCATCTGGCCGGCTCGGGGGCGTGTGGTTATCGCCCCTCCCGCGACTTGGAGAGCTTTTCACGGATCTTCAAAGCCGCTCCGGCAGACGACACAAGGCGCAAGAGCCCCCCAAAGTTGCAGCGGTGACTGGCGCTGAGGATAGCGCCTTTGCCTCTCTCTGCACACATACACACACGGAATTTGTTCGTTGCATTTCACTCTTATTTTTTTCACCTCACGATGCGCTTGAAAGGTTTAGGCAAAGCAAAAGTATTTCTATCGCGTCCTCAAGCTTCAAGGATTACATATTCTCGAAAAAATTTCCTACTTTTCAGTTTTCTACGTTGAACATAGCTAAATATATTCTGGATATTTGCCGTTTTCCCCCACAATATTTGCTAGTGATGAAGAGTCATCATAAAGTTTATCATAACAAAAATCACTATGAATTAGCTGTAAAGGTTTAGAAAAATTACTTCGCTAAAAAATACGGTTTACAACATAATTTTCCCAAACTTATTACCCTCTTGAGAATTCCATAAATACTCGTCGGTGTTTCCAAAATCCATCGGAATGGAGTAAGCCAAGATTTTCCTGGCAGTTGCAGGAGGAAAAGCGATTCGTTTAAAACAGAAATCACTCACACACAAAAAAAAATGTGAGAGTTTTAATATAAAATATTTTCTGGAAGAAATATTGTTGGCGGATATCTCGGATTTTGTCTGCCGGCAGACCACCGAATTCTCCAGGACCAGTAAAGGTGTTCAAGTGCAAACGTCCATGTGTGCGCGAGTGTTGTGATACTATGTTGAGGACATCCCTGTGGTGTGGACAAGATGGCCCGTAAACGCGGTCGGATGACCAGGACAGGCTGGTTTGTCCTGGTCTTAAGCATTCACTGGATACTGCTGCTACAGTGCTGCTGCGTGGCATCTTGGATGTAAGTCTTTGTCTACATCATCATCATCATCGTCGTCGTCGTCGTCATAGCCATCGTCATTATCATCGTCGTCGTAATAGCTATCGTCATCATTGTCATTGTCATCATCCATCATCTTCATCCTAGTCTTAAGAGTAAGGAGACTTAGAAAGTATAGTTCAAATTTGCAAAATCACTTTATGCTTCGCCATTGCAGGATTTGGCGAAATCACAGTCTGTGCCGTTCACAGCGCACTTCTCCTCATTTTTTACTTCACCCCCCCCCCCTCAATCCTTAAAAAACAAAAGAAAAAACCCCACCAGTTTTCTTCTTCTTACTCAATCTTCATTCTGCATATTATCTAAATGGTTCTCAGCCATCAGCATCACCGTTATCGTCTAAGTCTTCATCGTCATTTCCAAAGTCAGAAATTCACGTAGGCTTGATAGATCAACTTCCCCTTCTCTGTACTCCCATTCCACCACCTGAAAAAAAAACTATAAGCAAAACAAAAGCAAAAACTAAATAAAAGTCCCCTTCTCCCCAAATAAACAAAAACAAAACAACAATGAGTAGCAACAAAAACCCCCCACTAAAAATAAAAAAATACAAATAAAAGATAAAACAAAACCTCAAAATAACCATAGTTAAATTTTAATGCCTGATAGATTTTCTTTTATGAACACCTTCAACCCTGTCACCGCATCTCTTAGCATTCCTCCCTCCGCCCCCCCCCCTCTCCACGCGCTCGCGCGCTAACACATACACACACA